GCGGGGAAACAGCAATGAAGCTGTGAGCTAAGTCCAACCACATCAATAGACCTGGACTGAGACCTGGTTGGCCAGCAGTATGGCAAGACCTGGGGACTCCTAAGCTTATGGACAGGGACATAGCCACAGAGGACTTGAGAAAAGAGTGAAGCATCCAGCTGATGTGAAGTGAAGGGAGATGCACAAGAATGCCCATACTTGTAGACAGTACCCATTTGACCTAGCTTCAATGGCTGGATGATCAGAACTCAACTAAAGGAAGAAAGAAGAGGAAAAAAGTGTAATCTGCTACAATTTGATGAACTTGACCTATACTTATGGCTGTAGTAGCTTAAAAGAGGGTATGAATCTTTACAGCATGGATCATTCCCACCCCCTCTGTATACAGGGTTGACAGGGATAGGCAACTTAAACATTGGCTACCCAAAATGGGGGTGCTATAAAGGCAAGAAGTGTCTGGCTTACAAGTTTTCAAGAGGGAGCTTAGTTTCAGAGGGGAAGGTAGAATCTCCACTGAGTGGTTTTCAACCTGTCTAGATGAGGCTGATGAAAGAAGATGAGGACAGGACTCTTATGGTTCAATAGTGAATAATTGCTATCAGGACTGATTGTGATTGTTGCAAATGTAAAGGTAGACGTTTTATAAGAAAAAGGGAGAAGAGCAGAGTGCAGGACCCTATCCAGAGAAGCAGTGACGCCAGAGATGGAAGCAGAAACGATGACGTGGAGAAAAGGAGTGGCTGGGGACTCTAAACTCAAGGAAAGAGAGGAGCTGTGTGCTGGCAGCCAGGGGACAGGCTTGTGGGGTGTACCCTTTGGTTGTTTGAATAGTTATATGTTATTCCTGAGTGCTTCGATGTACATCCAAAAAAACAGAGGGGATGGACGCAAATGCTGTTGAATGATGATGCGTGGAGGGGTCTGTAATCATTGCAATGAAACAAAATACAACAGGATGAATGTAAAGCTGTTGTTCTTCCACGTAAACTATCACTCAATTCACAATAAAAACTTAAAAAAAAAAAAATAGTTGTAGCAAAATGTTCATTATCTCACCATATCAGAACAAATCACCTCATCTGCAAACTCATAACTTAACCTTAGTAACAAGTACACATGTGCTGGAGTGGCGCTGTAGGGTAAGCACTGGACTGCTAACCACAAGGTGGGCGGTTCAAACCCACCAGTCACTCTCTGGAAACCCTACACAGGGTCACTGTAAGTCCAAATCGGCTCCATGGAACTTAACAACACATGTGCTACATGAAAGTTTTGTTATTTTGAAACAAAAGACAGGAGGACATCTTATCAGCAAAACTGGTGGCAGCTACTCAAGAGATTGACAACTTGTCAAGAACTGTTGCTTAATGTCCACCTGTGTTGGCTCTTTAGAATGGAAACCTAGTCCCAAAGTAAACACAGTTAACACAGTAGAGTCCACAGTTAGTGGCTTCCAGACATGGACGACGGACCAGCTGTACTGAACTGGATCTCTGCTCAGTGCTCAAAACAGCCAGTGACACTTTTCATCTGCAATGGGCTTCTGTGAAGAGTACTGTACTGTTTTACATCCTCTTTTCACTGCAACAAAATCTATTAAGTCAAACCTTTAGATTACACTGGAAAACAGCTGAAAAACTTCTGGCTGCTCTATGCTCTAATTATTAGAAAACTCAGTGATCTAGGAGCTCTCAAACATCAGAAACCTCAATAACATAAAAATGCAGGCTCTTGGTTTTGAAAACCATGCTAAATGCACTGCACAGGTAAATTACAATGGTCACTTCTCTGTTAATTGCCCTTAATAACATTGTCAGTGCTTTTCTTCTACTCCTTGAGTTTGGTGATCAGTTCCTGGGGTCTTAAAAGACTGCAAGTGAAAAGGGGGTCGAGGTAAATAGTGACACACACACACCCTTGTCACAGCAGCATTCTGTGGGTGGATACGTGGACAGATACACAGACCCAATGGGTATGGGAGGGAGAGTAGGCGTACACTCACAAATATGTAAGGGTGTGGAAGAGCAGGATATTGGTGCCTGGGTTATTTACCTTTGCTGTAAATACAACTATGAGTGTGGTGGAGCTTGAGCGTGCAGAAGTCAAAACAATGAAAACTCCTTAGATCTTATCAAACATCCATGGCAGAGTTGCTGGGTCTGGGGGCTCAGGGGACACTATGTTCAACTGGCAGAACGTAGTCCACACAGACAATGCTCTACATCCTATTTTGGTGAGTAGCGTCTGCAATGGGCAGCTAGTGGTCTCTCCATGTACAGAAGAAAGAACAGTGAAGAGAATTTTAGAGGCTTGAAATCGGTTAGTCCAGTGGGCTCATGGACCATGTGACCATCAGTCTCCAGATGAACTACATGGTACCCGGTTACCACTACCAACTGCTCCAAAAGGGATCACATTAGAAGGTCCAGGATAGAGTGGAAGAAAATGTGGAACAAAATTCAAAATGATTAAAAAAAGAAAACAAACACATAAGAAGGCAGGGTCTACTGGTCAGGAAGAGTCTGAAGAAACCGGAGACTATGGCCCTCGACCACCCTTCAGGTCTGGAAAGGAGCTCACCTTTGTGGCCCGATTTTCAGCCAAGCAGTAGACAGGAACACAGGGGGACAACAACAACACCAGCAAGGTATACACACCATGGAATGGTCAATCCTTCAGAATCGAAAAGGCAACAATTACCTCAGGGCACAACTGAGAAGGGATAGGAAGGTGGGTGGAGTGCCAACAGGAAACATAGGGAGGAATGGGGATACTGCTGTTGCATGAGAGACAGACAAAAGGCCTTCTCACAATCTCCGAGGAAAGATGAGGAAGGGGCCACTGCTGGGGAATGGTAAAGGAGGGAGAGAGAGGCAGCCAGGATCTAAGCCAGGAAAATATCTATGATGCCTGACTTCACATAAACCCTAGTGGATATACTCACCTCAGAAATCCACAATAAAGTTTCTTCTTTGAAGCAGAACCGTTTCATTTTATCATCAATCTCCTGCTGAGTCCGTAAGTTCCTCTCCAAAGCAAATGATGTTTGCTGAGGCTGAGTGAGCTCAAGCAGAAGCCTGGAAAACAGGAGACCACCAAGTGTAGGCTCCCCAGAAAGGGGGCAGTGAGCAGCCGCACGTGCGCAGCACCGGTGCTCAGCTGTCAGGAGTACAGCTAGCTACAAACAAGGGCCTTCCTCTCTAGAACCACCATTACAGTTTCACTGTGTCTAATATCAGCTGACTGTGGAACAAACCACAAATTGTTCAGAATGCAAGTTCAGGCTGAAGCTGAAGAAAACGAAAACAAATCCATGAGGACCAAAATTCGATCTTGAGTATATCCCATCTGAATTTAGTAACCATCTTAAGAACAGATTTGATGCATTAGACGCTAATGACAGAAGACCAGAGATTTGTGGGATGACATCAAGAACATCATACAGGAAGAAAGCAGGACATTAACAAGACAGGAAAGAAAGAAACCACCAAAATGGAAGTCAGAAGACTTGAAACCTGCTCTAGAGTATGGAGAAACCAAAGCAACTGGAAGAAATTTTCTGAGCTGAACAGAAAATTTCAAACACCTGTTCAAGAAGACAAACTATTATAATGAGATGCACTCAGACCTGGAGTTAGAAAATCAAAAGGGAAAAACACGCTCAAGCTGAAAGAACTGAAGAAAAAAATACAAGCCGCAACTTACAATACTGAAGGATCCTAAGGAGTCCTGATGTGGCAGTGTAGGATAAACACTGGATTGACAACCACAAGGTCATTTCTGGTGCTCCTTGGGAACCCTATATAGAGTTGCTGAGTTGTAACCAACTGGATGACACTTAACAATAACATGGACAGAATACTGAATGATGCAAGAAACATCAAAAGAAGATGAAAGGCAGAATCTTCTGAAGTGGGAAATTTCCACTTGAAAGGACAAGCAGATCAGCCTGGAGGGGCTAGAAAAACAGAAGATACTTGAAAGAAAGACTTGACAGGAAAAATACAAAACAATAACAGCAGTCCGATTGATTACTACAAGAACAAGCAAGCTGATTGCCCAGGAGACATCAGGGCAAACCCCCTTCCAAGACTACAACCCAATAGGAATACACGAGCAGACATGTGCTCTGATTGGTGACCATATTCATCACCAATAAGGTGAAGTGAGGGAAAAACAGCAGTGAAGCAGCGAGCTAAGTTCTACCACATTCAATAGACTCCTGTGAACCCAGGTAGAGACCTGTCAGCCAGCAGTGTGGCTAAACCTGGGGACTCTTGGGCCCAGAGTCAGTGACATAGCCACAGGGGACTAGAGTGGAGAGCGAAGCGTCCAGCTGATAAGAAGAGAGGGCATATGCGCAAGAACACCCATACTTGCAGATAATACCCACTTGACCTGGCTTCAATGACTGGATGATCAGAGCTCAACTAGAAGAAGAAAGAAGAGGGAAAAAAGAGTAATCTGATACAATTTGATGAACTTGACCTACACCTATGGATGCAGTAGCTCAAAAGAGGAACAAATTTTTACAGCAAGGACCATTCCCACCCCCTCCATACACAGAGTAGACAGGGATAGGCAACTTGGACATTGGCTACCCAAAATGGGGCGGGAGGCTACAACGGCAAGAAGTGACTGGCTTACAAGCTTTCAAGAGGGAGCCTAGATCCAGAGGGCTTGGAGGAAGGTAGACTCTCCACTGAGTAGTATCCAATCTGTCTGGGCGGGGCTGATGAAAGGAGACCGGGATAGGTCTCTTGTGGTACAATAGTGAATAATTGTTACCAGACTGACTGAGGGTTGGAAATGTAAAGGTAGACATTTTGTAGCAAAAGGAGGGGAGTGATTAACTTTCCAGTCTAGGAGCGGAGGTCCCTGGGACCATCAAGGGAGAAGAGCAGAGTGCGGGACCCTACCCAGAGAAGCAGTGACGCCAGACAATGGCGTGGAGACATGGGGCAGCTGGGGACTCTAGACCCAAAGAGGGAGAGGGGCTTTGTGCTGATGGCCAGGGGTGGGGGTGGGGGGGCAGGCTTCCAATGGTATACCCTTTGGTTGGTTGATGACGCATGGAGGGGACTGTAACCATGGCAATGAAACGATTATATAATAGGATGAATGTACAGCTAATGTTCTCCCACGTAAACTATTACATAATTCACAATAAAACATTTAAAAAATGGAAATAAGCAGAGTCCCTGTTCCAAACAGAATTCGATGCTCAACCATTTTTCAAGAGGCAACATGTGATGAAATACAAATTGAAATGTTTCAACAAACTGATACAGCAATGGAGGTGCTCACTCGTCTCTGCCAAGGAATCTGGAAGACAGCTACGTGGCCAACCAACTGAAGAAAGCCCTATTTGTACCCATTCCAAAGAAATGTGGACCAACAGAAGGTGGAAGTTAATAGCACATGTAAGTGGAGTTTTGCTGAAGGTAATTCTAAAACAGTTGCAGCAATACATCAACAGAGAACGGCCAGAAATCCAAGCCAGACTGGAAAAGAATACTGCAAGTCCCATGGACTGCCAGAAGAACCAGCCAGTCTGTGTTGGAAGAAGTACAGCCGGAGTGCTCCATTAGGAGAGAGGATGACAAGACTTTGTCTCTTATACTTTAGACATGTTGTCAGGAAGAGTCCGTCCCTGCTAAAGGACATCATGCTTGGGTAAAGCAGAGGGTAGAGCAAACAAGGAAGACCCCTGAAGAGATGACTGACACACTGACAACAACTGTGGCCTCAAACAGAACAATTGTGACGGCACAGATCTGGGCAGCATCTCAGGCTGCTGTGTACCTAACAACAATGTTTCTCAAAAAAGTCTTTAGGGAGTGAAACCTCAAAAGCACTTCCTGCATCCTAAGAGTAAGGTCAAGTGATTATAAACACAAATCATTTGGAAGGAAAAGAGCAAACCTCGCCGTCTAGACTCATCCCACAGAGTCCTCTGACCTGCCCCGGACTGTGGACTATTAAATCTAGGTTCTCTAGATGACATTTCCCTAGCACAATGCAACTATTCCCCAAGCACCAAGTCTCCACTCTGATGACCACTTTGCTACTGTCTAGCCACTAGCTTCCCCAGAGACTGCTTCCGGCCTCCTCCCTCATTCTGCCTCCCTCCGCCTCACCAGGCTCTTTTCTGCTGGTTTTTACACCGTGAACGTGAAGACATATCCAGTTTCCTCAGGCCTTGCTGGCTCCCTACTGTGATGCCCAAGAGCCCACAGTGGTCTCTCATTCACTTCATGCATTGAGGGACATGCCAGACACAGCTTGAAGCCCCAGGCAGGTCCTGGAGAGCAAACTGCATAGGCTCCTGCCCTTAGGGGATGGAAGGGGAAACATACTCAGGACAGGGTGGCTGAGGGTCTGCTTTAACTGAAGCAGTGTTGTGAGATGATATTTAAAGTAGGACCTGATTGGAGAACCAGCCACAAGAATGGAGGGCCAAGAGGGCGTGGCATGGGGAAGTCCATGATGCAAGCACTCACTTGAATGACTGACACGTCAGAAAAACAAAGCTCTCTGAGGCCAGAACACAGTGAGGGACACAAGAAATTAGAGGAAGCTAGGAAAGACAGATAAGGCCAAGCCGCATGTGACCTTATAGGCCATAGAAAGGAGCCTGGGCTTTATCGAGGTGCAGTGGGCATTAAAGGCAACTTATAGAGGGGATTGGCATGTCCTGTCCACACATAACAAGATCACATGGCTGCTTCACCTGAACTTGTTTACACTGCTCACCTGCCCTTGCTCTCTCCCTCTTACTCTGTTGTTGTTGTTGTTGTTAAGTGCCATGGAGTCGGTTCCAACTCATAGCGACCCTGTAGGGTTTCTGAGGCTGTAAATCTTTACGGGAGCAGAAAGCCTCATCTTTCTCCTGCAGAGCAGCTGGTAGTTTCGAACTGCTGACCCTGAGGTTAGCAGCCCAATTCGTAACCACTACGCTACCAGAGCTCCTTGCTCTGTTAGTTACTTGAAAATACAGCTGATACCTTCTCCTTCTATCCAGATGTTCATTTGTCAACCTTGTATCCACTTCTGCTGAAATTGCCCATGCAAAGATCGCAGATGATCTCGACATTGTTCAAATCCTGACTTCTCACTAACACTTGACTGACTGGTTGATCAATCTCTAGCTCCTTTTGCACACCAGACGACTTCCTGTGGAAAATTACAGCTGGGTAGATTGAACCATGATTTTCTGCTGCAAATCTGCTCTTCTTCTCAGGGTGGGACCCCAGTGAGAGGTACTGCCACCCACTCACAGCCTTCCCACATCAGTGGCCACTAGTCTGTCCACTCTGTCCTTCAGTGACCACCACTTCCTCTGGTTTTACTGTCATCACCGATTAGTTCCCTTACTCCAAGCACCTTCTTTTAATCCATTGCTCTCTAAACCACAGGTCTTATCATGTGACTCCAATATTTAGAACCTTCTAAGACCAGCTATGGGTCGGAACTTACTCGACAGCACTTAACAACAAGACCAGACTCTGTCAGAAGACATTTCATATTCTATGCTAATAGAACAAAAATAGTAAGAGAAAAATAGTTAACAGCAAATGTTTACCAATTGTCTACTTTATACTCTGTACCACTAACCTTTAAAGAACCCTGGTGGTATAGTGGGTTAAAAGCTGGACTGCTAACTGCAAGGTCAGTAATTCCAATCTACCAGTCCCTCTGCAAGAGAAGGATGAAGCTTTCTGCTCCTGTAAAGATTCACAGCTTTGGAACCCCTGTACAGGGTCACTGAGTCAGAACTGAGTCAGTAGCACTGAACCACCAACACCACTAAGCTTTGCTGTTGTTATGTGCAGTCAAGTCGGTTCCAACTAATAGTGACCCTGAAGCTTCCAAGGAGCAGCTGGTGGGTTTTAACTACTGACCTAGTGGTTCGGAGTCCAGTGCTGATCCTACCGTGACACACCAACTTGAGATGCTTTAATTCTTGCAAGCCCAGGCACCTTCCCCATTTCTTCATCAAGGTAAGGAAACTAAAGGTCAGAGGGGTTAAGTAACTGGTGCAAGTTCACACGGCCAGGAGACGGAGCTCAGACTCTTGCACTGAACAGCAACTCACTAAGGGCCTTCAAACCAGACCTGACTCCAAAGTCATCCTGCCCTCAGGGTGTACAGCCCACCTGTCCAGTCTCCATCACTGTTCTAGACGATGTGACAACGCTGTGCTATAGCAGGTCCCTGACCCCGCTGGGCTGTGCTTCTGTCTCCTTACCCAGAATGCCCTTCCTTACTGCATGATTCTGAAGTGGTTTCCTCGTCTCTAGATGAGGCATCAATACCTACTCTAGCTGCAAGGACTCAATGACATGGTGACCAGCTGACAGATGGTCCTGTCCGGTACTGCTTTCCTTCAAGGCGTCCTCCTTCCTCCACACTGGGCTGCTTCCTTGTGCAGCCTGCTGAAGAATTAGCCTCACAGGACCACCCTACCACTTAGCACCTAGGCCGCAAGTCATGACCACACGTATGTCCACTCCTGCCCCCTCAGCCCCTGAGTGGTGAGAGGGAAAGGGCTGTTTCTCAATCAGCTAGCACCAAGCATGCACCCAGCTGTCATTCCACGTGCTTCTGAATTAAAATGCCACAACGCTTGCTATCAAGTTGACTCCTCCTCACAGGGACCCATGTGCTCCACGGGGTTTCTCAATGGCTGGTGTTTCTTTAAAAGTACACTGCCAGACCTTTCTCTCAAGGTGCTGACGTTTCAGTGAGCACCACTCTGTTGTTGTTGCTGAGTGCCCTCAAGTGGGTTTTGACTCAGTGACCCTGTAAAGGATTTCACCTTTCTCCTGTTGAGTGGTTGGTGGATTCAAACCACCAACCTCATAGTCCACAGACCAGTGCTTATTCTACAGAGCCAGGGCGCTCTCATTCGCACCACTGAGGGTCCCCTAAAGTGACATGGTGGAGGCTAAACAATCAACTGCTGAGTCTAACTGACACCACGTCTCTGTGAGCCTCGCCACATGTGAAAACTTACGTTCTCTCAAATTTGACAACAAACAAACCCTCTCTCATATTTGTGATACAAGTGTCTGCTTCTTCTCCCACAGAACTGGTCACTGCATGCTCCTTACCATGTCCCTGAACCGCTCCGGGTGTCCAGGGGCAAACCATGGGGATTCTCTGTAGTATGAATTAAGTAACTCTCAGGACTAGTGATTCTAGCACGAGACTGGAGTTTCTTCCTGAGCAGATTTCTGTGGGATAGACCAGTGAAAAATTCCTGGCTTAAAAGACCTTGTTTTCTTTTTCAATGTTTTATAAATTGCATTTTCTTCCTTTGAACATTTTCCAATTTGACAATCCTGTCTTGGCCAATGACACGAGTTGGATTCTTGAACAAGTGGAATTTTGTTTCTAAATTTACACATGAAAATGACACTGGTTCCAGGGATTCTGTCTAGATCAGAGGTACACTCACTCTTGAACATATACACCAAGTGCCTAGAACATTCTGAAGCTTAAAATGAGAATGGAGCCATGAACTGCTTCATCTTTTCTTAGCTTACCTGGTTCTGATAAAAGAGGCACAGGCTTTCATCTGTGTTCCTGTCCACACAGCCTCTCTCTCTTCTGACAAACAGTTCTGAATGTTTTTAAGAGCTTCCTCATTGTGCTGCCTGTTGCTGCCGACTGATTCCACAGACGATCTTGAGCTCTCAGGCAAGGTGTTTGCGAAATACAAAAGACAGTCTTTTCCTGAGGGAGGAGTAGAAGATTTGATCATTTTGTCACTTGAGGTGAAACTGTTCCATTTCTGAGATGGTGTGCAAGCTGCTGAGAGAGCTGGTGGCCCCAGATTCAAGTATGCCTCTGCCAGTTTGCCCCAGACCCAAGGATTAAAGGGATGCAGAGAAATCAGCTTCTGCAGGCAGAAAATTGTCTTCTCCCAGTTCTGCAAACTGGAACAAATAGCCAACTGGAGGTAGAGCACGGTCGTTAAGTGGTCTGGGTTAGTTGCTTTATTTTCCTAAGAAGAACAAAAAGGATTAGAAACTTCAACCTGCAAAGCTTTATCCAGACAGAGATGACTAAAAAACCTAAAATGTATCTTTGAGTATATTTATCTTTCAGTACACGAAATACAGTGAACCAAGTATATTTTGATAGACCACATGTTTAAAACCACAAACCTAGAGAAAGTCATTAGTACCGAGCAAAAGAGTCACCAGCCGAATAACGGCTCACATGATAGGGGTCTGAGCAAATTCAACATTAAAACAGAAAGGTCAGTTTATTTTCTATTTTTATTATAATCTTAATTGTCTTCAGCTAGATAGCTGAAAGACCCTGGGCATTTTTTTCAGATTCTGGGCTACATTTTCATTTTCAAAGATTTCTAAAAGTCCAAATGGTAATTTCTGTAAGGATTCAAACAGACAATCCCCAAATTTCACTCGGCTTACTCGTCTTAAACAGAGCATCCTAGAGCTCTCACGGCTTCATGATGCATCATAATTGAATCCAAATGCCTTCCCTGGTAACCAAGAGCAACACCAACTATTTCTGGTCAGAGGGGATTACAGGCTTTCCTTCTGACCAGAAAGTCTTCTCACTTCTCCTTAACCAGATCTCTACCACCCCTCAGTTCTCCTTAACCAGATCTCCACCTCTCAGTTCTCCTTAACCGGAGTACCTCCACCTCTCAGTTCTCCTTAACCAGAGCTCCACCACCTTCTGCATAACCTGACACCTGGCAAAAGCCTTCTGAGGAAGGGGCAACAGGCCTTCATTTTGTCAGTTAAAATCTGCAGAGAACCGATTTTAAAATTACCTTGGAAAGGATTTTAAGTCTTGGGAAAACCTGACTTCTGGAACCCAGTTCCAGCACAGAACTAGACTGAGTGTGAAATATGTGCCGAGCACCCAAGGAAGCTGGTGGGCTTGTGGGTGCTTAAGGTAGTCATCTGTTGGGAAGAAGATAAATCAGAAGTCCTCGTGCAACCTATCTGACTATACTGTATCTCCCACACAGCAGAGTATCTGCTTTCATTACTGCTGTCCAGGGTTTGAACTGGCCAGTAGGGCAGGTAAACCCAGGTCCCTTTTGTCCAATGGCAGCTGTGAGGCTGTAAAGTGCCCAGTGACAGGCACCCTGGACTATCCCCCTACGAGGGGCAGTAACCAAGGAGATAAAAAAAAGAGAAGTGAGCCAGAGTTAATAAAGAAAGAAAAGGGTTCTCAAGTATGGGGGAAAAAACTAAAAAATAAACCCCCAAGTTGCCAGGCAAGGAAAAAAAGCAAGTACTGAGACCCAAAAAAGAGGGGAGACCTACTGACCTACACTGCTCATTTTCCAGCCAACGCGCGCCCCCCTGAGGGGCTCAGAAGCATGATGAACAGTTCTCCATGTCCCAGCACAGGTGATGTTCTCACGGGCCCTCACCCCGACCACTGGAGACCTGGCACCTGCTAACTGGCAACAGATGCGTCTTGGAGCCACAGACACAGAGACCACGTGACCAAGAAGAGACCCAAGAGATAATCTAACCCCCACCAATCCAGCTGAGACTGCCTTTAGGGGTCCCAGCCAGGAGAACGAAGAACAACAGCGATGTGCGAGAGAGGTGAGCGGGAACAGGTGACAGCCGTCCCAAAGGGCCCATGTCACTGGTAATCTACAGACCAGGGAGACGATCATATTCACAGCTCAGCTCAGTGCTCCCTGTACAAGGTACCTACAACCTGCCTCAATTGGTGAAGGAGGAAAACAAAGCACAGCTGGCTGCCATGTCCTACAGACAATTACTGCCACGTTTCCTCTCCTTGCAAAAAGCTAAGGTGCGATGCAATGACCCTCACAGAGCTAAGGGGATTCCTTTTAGTTAACGTGATGGAGGGCAGCCCAATGGCATGTCCACCCACTTCTAGTCCCACAAGGTTCAAAGTCAGTGCGATGGCGGCTCATCAGCTCCCTCTGAGGGAGAACACTAGCCACCTGTAAACCAGGATTGGTCAGTTTAGACCAATCCCCTTGTAACAGTCACACAACACAAAAAGGGATGTCAACCATAAATGCCTTTTCCTAAAAACAAAAGCAAACAGATAATCTAGACTTACAATGAAAACGATGGTACAAATTACATTTGAGTATAAAAAGCACTATTAAACTTTGCTTAATAGGACCTGGCTTCAACGACTGGATGATCAGAGCTCAACTAGAAGAAGAAAGAAGAGGGAAAAAAAGAGTAATCGGATACAATTTGATGAACTTATGGATTCAGTAGCTCAAAAGAGGGAACAAATCTTTACAGCGAGGATCATTTCTACCCCCTCCATACACAGAGTAGACAGGGATGGGCAACTTGGACACTGCGACTACCCAAAATGGGGGGCTACAAATGCAAGAAGTGACTGGTTTACAAGCTTTCAAGAGGGAACCTAGATCCAGAGGGTGCAGAGGAAGGTAGAATCTTCACTGAGTGGTATCCAATCTGTCTAAGCAGAACTAATGACAGGAGATAGGGATAGGTCCCTTGTGGTACAATGGTGAATAATTGTTATCAGGACTGATTGTGAGGGTTGGAAATGTCAAGGTAGACATTTTGTAGCAAAAAGAGGGAAGCGATTGACTATGCAGTCCAGGAGCGGAGGTCCCTGGGACCATCAAGGGAGAAGAGCAGAGCGCGAGACCCTACCCAGAGAAGCAATGACACCAGAGATGGAGGCAGAGACGATGACGTGGAGAGATGGAGTGGCTGGGGCCTTTAGACCCAGAGAGGGAGAGGGGCTGTGTGCTGACAACCAGGAGACAGGCTTGCAGGGTATACCCTTTGGTTGTTTGATGATGCATGGAGGGGACTGTAACCACGGCAATGAAACGATATATGATAGGATGAATGTAAAGCTAATGTTCTCCCATGTAAACTATCACATAATTCACAATAAGACATTTAAAAAAAAAAAAAAAATTGGAGGGGAAATAAGTAAATCTAAGAGAGAAAATCGGTCACTCACTCATAACCCTTCCGTTTAGAATATTTACTCTTACAAGAGCAGCCGCCACTTGTCTGTCAGTGTACTGTCCTGCAGTGGTGTGGGTGTTGCTGGAAGCTATGCCACTGGTATTTCGAATACCAGCAGAGTCACCCACGGGGGGAAGGTTTCAGGAGAGTTTCCAGACTGAGACAGACTAAGGAAGAGGGATCTGGCAATTCACTCCTGGAAAAAAATGGCCCCTGAAAACCTAACGAATACTGTGTGCAACAGTGCTGGGAGATAAGCCAGTCAGGTGGGAAGGTGCTCAAAATACGTGTGGGGAAGAACTGGTTCCCACAACAACGGGTTCTACACACAGGAATGATGGTGAGGGGGGCATAGGCCTGGTAGTGTTTTGTTCTGCTGTACACAGGTTCCGTATGAGTCAGAACCAGCTTGACAACACCTGACATCAACAAGCAAGAGTAAAACCTCGGTAATGACATTCTCAGGCAATAAAGAATTTTGAGTGTAACAGGAAAAAACATTGTAAGAGATGAGTTCTGTCTGGAGCCCCAAACTACTCATCATCATAAAATCCTAACTGACAAGTTTCTTCTGCTTATCCAAAGCCACAGATTTTGTTGCTCACCAGGTTATTATTTTTTAAAGAAAACTATTTTAAAAAATATTTTTGGTATAGGAATTAAAAATTATTTTGGTAAAATATTTTTGGTATAGGAATTAAAAAATATTTTGGTAAAAATTATTCTTGGTATAGGAAATGAAAGCAAGTAGCAAAAACACTCACCAAGTTTCCGGCAATCTCCAGGGCTTCCATGTATCTTCCCAGTTGCATGAGACACCGCGCCTGACCTTCCTGGACATCCCTTTTCATAGCAAAACTGGTAGATGACAATTTCTCAGAGAGGTTCGTATACTCCTGCAGGGCTTTCTGGTAATAATTTATTAGACAAGGGAAGAAAAAAAGATCAAGGGAGAAAACAGTAAAAGGAAAGTTCAGTCGAGGATTTTCCTACTGTTATAATTGAACCTTAGAAGGATGCAAGGAAGATCTGAGTTTAAAACTCCCAGAATTTCAAAGTCAGTACTATTTTTCTAAAAGACAAAGAGAATGGCCGGAGAATCCACTATTAGGGAAAACATCACACAGTCTAGTAGAAAGAGCATCCGGCAGCCAGATGGGCAGCGTTTGAGGCCCAGAGTTGCCCCTCAACTTGCTGTATAACTTTTTCATCAGCAAAATAGCGAAGCAAGACTCTTGTGAGGATTAAACGGGACAGTATGTGTGACACAATCTGACATCTGATTATCAGTATTTTCCTCTCTATACACATTTTGGGGTATTTTGCTCCTTTAATGGAAGGATCCTACATAATGAAGAGATATAGAACCTGGGAGAAACAGACCTACACGGACTCCAAGAAGACCCTTATACTGAGGTGATAGGAAACACAGGAATTACAGAGAGCCAAGTGGAAAAGCACGCAAACTTGGGATTCTCAGATGACAAAGATACACCACAAAAAGTATAATTCACCTTAACTGACATGACACCCAGAACCCAGTTCACTCTCATTTAAATCCACAGCCACTGACAAAACAAGAGCCCATTTCACACAGCACAATCCTCCAAATGTTGACTTGTACCTGATACTCGCGCCGTCTGTAGGCCAGGTCCCCTTTGAATTTCTGGAGAGTTAGGGCTTCAACATCATCACTGCCCTCTGCTTCTTCATCAAACCACTAGAAAATGTGAAAACAGCAAATTACAGAGAATGAAGCTATGTTTTCCCACCTCAGAATCATTTCACCCAAACAGTAACTCTGAGCCAGTATGATTTTTCCTAAGTGACCAATCAGAAACTAACATCTGGAAAGGCAAAGAATGGCGTCAACGCTGCAGTTCCCAGATCCACTGCCCTAATCCCCACCACTCGCGGCAATGTGTAGCACGCTGGGGGCTTGCTGTGATGCTGACACATCACATACCAGCCAAGTCACCAGGGTGGACAGATTTCAGCAGAGCTTCTAGACCAAGACAGTCTAGAAAGAAAGGCCTGCAATCTGAGCACAAATTCAGCCAGTGGGAATTCTGGGGCTCACAACAACACTGTCCCATAGGGTGCTACAATTGATGGGGACGCCAGGAATCAGGACTGACTGAATGGCAACTAATTACTGGTGGGGCGCTATAGGATACGCACTGGACTGCTAACCACAAGGTCAGCAGTTCAAGCCCACCAGATGCTCATTGGAAAGCCTATACAGAGTCGATAAGAGTTGGAACCGACTTGATGGCACTTACCACCACCAACAGCAACGCAAAAATCCAGGGCTTTTTAAAGTTCCACCACATGGCTTCCCAAACCCATTCCCTGCTTTCAGTCTGCATGGCCAAGTGCTAAAGCTAACTTTGAGAAAGACATCATAAATGAAATTAAAATGTTGTTGTTAAGTGCCGTCGAGTTGGTTCCAACCCATAGTGACCCTGTACAGGGTTTCCGAAGCTGTAAATCTTTACGGGAGCAGAAAGCCTCATCTTTCTCCCGCGGAGCAGGAGAACTGCTCACCTTGCAGTTTGCAGCCCAATTCGTAACCGCTACACTACCAGAGCTCCTTCGAAATAAAAAATAAAACTCCACAAATACTGAGTCCCTGGTGTTAAAGTATAACTGTTACCAGGACCAAATAAATAAGTTTTATGAGAACAGGAAGTGTTTTAAGAGAAATAAAGTGTACTCCTGACTAACCAAAAGGTTGGTGGTTCAAACCCACCCAGTGGTACCATGGAAGACAGGTCTGGCAATCTAGTCCATAAAAATGACAACCAAGAAAACCGCATGGAGGTGTTTTACTCAGTTCTGTTCTGTAGCACAAGGTGAAAGATGAGGCTTTCTGCTACCAAAAAGATTTACAGCCTTGAAAACCCTACACAGGGTGGCTATGAGTCAAGCCGAAGTTAACAACAAAACTGTGGCACATGGGGTCACCAGGAGTGACTGCAAAGGGTTTTTGTTGTTAGTTGCCTTGGCGACACCATCACT